CAATAGCCAGAATATATTTGTTTATTAAAAATTCTTGAAACTACGTACACTAATCTTTACATAATTATTAACTTTGTCCTTTCCTTTAAGAAAGTATATAAACGTTTTTTTGGACTTGTCATCAGTAAATGTCAAGAAATACCGTACGCCACTTTACGACGGCGTGTGTGTGGGACCGCAAACATTTAAATGCACTAAATCCAAGATATTATTAGTTTTATACTCGTTTTCTTTAACCTCTTAAATGATTTTCTTATCTGTTTTTCTTTAAGATGTAGAACGCAACTCAACGATTGAACAGTTTCTTTAAAATCAAATCCTTTAGTAAGATTTTTCAAGTTATTGAGATACCAATAGCTCAAATGTCCCATTCTTCTGTGCCACAGTTTACTATTACTAATATTTGATTCTTGATTAGTTAAGTGCAAGAACCTTTAAATATTAGGTTCAACACTGCATTTAAAGTGTAGATTCCATTCTTGTTTCTTATCTTTAAAACAAACCTCTCTTAAATCTCTATATTACTTTCCTCAAATATTTCACATCCTCTCTTTTTCAAAGAACAGCACTGACATATTTTTCTTTACCATGGCACTTACACTGAACAGATTTGCATTGAATCCAGAAACATAACTCATAATAACTACCCACACAACACATGGACGTCCTTTGGACGTCCGATATATGTTCTCAGAAGGCCCGGTTATGACGCTCATTTCCGGACGTCCGCAGAACGTCCAAAAGATGTCTTATGGATGTCCCATAATATCGTCCACGACTAAGACGTTTTAATGATGTCCTACAAACATCCATTACATGTACCGAGGATGTCCGTTATAAATGTCCCGAGAACGTCTGTTGTACGTCTTGAGAATGTCCGCTGTATGTGTCCTCAATAGGCATTGTGCTATTATTTATTATATATTAATATGTATTTGTTATGTNGTATTATTTTTATGTTTGTATATATAAATCTATAATTTACAGAATTCTAATAATTTTTACGTCTATTTTAAGTAAAGTTTTTCAATTGGCAAAAATTCATCTAACAATTAAACATTTTCAATAATGTGTAATATATTTATGGCAATGTAGAAGTGTAGAAAAAAATACATCGTAAATATATTTATTGAAATTAATAAATGTAAAGAGTAAAGTAATTGTAATAACAATAATAATATGTATATAATATTTTTATAATACAAAACT